CGTACGTGTACTTGGTTCGTATTGCTTGACAAGGACCACCACGCTTCCCCAGACGGCAACCCCAGGATCGATCCGATCTTCGAGCGGTCACGGACAACACGTCGTACTCGGGAATCTGGAATCAGAGTGACTGACAGGCGGCCAGAGTCCCACCGGCAAAAGACGCTTCCCCAGCTTTCACAAGCCGAAAATCAGAAGCAAGAGGCAGATGATAAAGGACGTCCCGAGGTCAGAAGCAATGCGGAGGCGAAGGATGGACGCGGGGTTACGGGGACTATAGGTCGACTAAGACGAGAGACTTGCAGTTGCGGCTGACGGTATCACCCGAGAGAAGGTCGATGAGATGGATATCGAGGACCAGCTGGTGTCGATGCCGAGGAGGGACCCAGAATGCCAGGGTGATGGTGGTGCGAAGACTGCCAAAAGAGGCCAAGGCTAGACACGCAATGACGCATGGGTCGGGGGGAGAGAATGAATTGAGGGCCCCATCAAGCGCTGTTCCGGGATATGATATGCCCAATGCCGTGGACGAGCAGCGCAAGAACCTGTTATTTTCTGGTTGTTCCATTATCACATGAAACGTTATTTTTGGCCACGGCCCTCGTGTAAGTGGGAGAAAAGCCGAGAGTACAAGTACATGGCCACACCATCTTACTCCGCACGACGCCTCCAAAAACGCCTCCCAAAGGAACGATATCCAAGCCAATTAATTGCCAAGGTAACTCGTAAGGAAGAGCGCAGACGCATACTGTACTCCGTAGACAAGGGCCAAACCAAGAAGGCCCTCGACTGTGGATTGGACGGCAAACCCCCTGTCTCTGTGGCTTGCATGGGGACATGAGCTGCTACATGTACTCCTACTGTGCTGGTGGGCGCCCCTCACCAAAAAAAATGCATCGACTGGGAATCCTCTGCATACGAGCCAGTTCGTTCGGGGACCTGACAAGTGTGTGTGTGGCTGATCGGCGCATCGGACACCCCAAGATGCAATATTCAGCTGGGCTTATGAGTAGATTTCGAATTTAACGCGACTGTCTTGTGTTGCCCGGAAGACAAGTACATGTACTTGTATGTGCTAATTGTCCGTCCGTGTAACTCGTAAGCTTCGGTTCTGGAACTGGAGGCTTTTTCTTTGTGCCAGCCACCCCGAGGAGTGGTTGGAACTCGAAGAAGCAACAATGATGAGCTGATGCAATGCTATAGATAAGACAGTTACCTAGACGAGTAATTGAGTGCAATTGATGAATGAAAAATCCTGCTTCTCCTCCATTGTGACAATGTTCAACGCCGCGGAACCTTGGGGACTGCAAAAGTACATGTACAAAGTGCAAGAACATTGCTGCCGGTGTCGGGCCTTACCCGCGCGCCGTCTCAGCTTAGAAGAGAGAAATACTTTCGGCTTCAACCAGGTGCCTGGTTCAAAACACCGCTAACGTGTAAGCTGCATTCCATCTTCTTCCACATTGCAGAGTACTGGCTGTATCTGTACCTGTACTTGACGGAACGGCTCCGCTGGGCTATCACGAGCCATTGCGAAAGGACAAAGACATACCGTTAATCATGGCTTGCTTCTATCTATTCCATCTATAATAGCTGCGGAGGAGTAGCACAGAGTACGAGTATATTCAATCTCTTCAGCCACATGTAGCCTTAGTATGTAGTACTCGTACACACAAAAAAAAAAAAAAAAAGAAGGCGTCCGTATTATGCCGATGAATATGGCCGTTTGTGCGGACATTGCAGGTCTCGCCGTTTCTCTCCACCTCGGTCTCGTCAGGCCTTGTCCTTGTTTCCCCATGTTCCCCAAGCTGGGCCTCACCTGTCTGTGCCGTTGCCGTAGGACGCTTTTGGAAGCTGTGTCCGGCTCTAGTAACGTCGTTGTCTCTTCACTGTGGCCCCAAACGTAATCATCAAAGTCCCCTGGCAGATTTGCAGGGATCCGCCGCCGTGTGGGTTCGTACGTGCAGACTCGAGTGTGATGGATCCCCGGCTGTCTTCACGCCATCCAACCGCCTACTGTAGCCAACTAGCTCATCCTTGCGGGTTGGGTTGGGTACGTACATGTACATTGACTCCGTAGGGCCTGTGGCTCAATCCATGCCAGGCAGGTAGCAGAAGCGTTCGGAAGAGCAAAGCGGCGAGTTTTGTTGTAATTGCGCCCATGGACGGCCCGGACAGCCCTTTTGATATTGGCCAGAGTATAATATGTGCATGGGCCGGGCGAGATGGCTCTTTTTCGATCTCTTCTCCCCCCGGGTTTGCTTACTCTGGGTAGTATCCTTCCACTGATATACGAGTCCTTGCAGCATTGACGATCAGGACAAAGTATAAGCAGCCTCCTCAACAAAGCATACGAGTGCCTTATCTCTTTAACCTTACCATCAGGGTACCTCTATACAGGGAGATTTCTATGTAAGCCTGAGAGCTCTCGTACCTAGGTATTCTCAGAGTTTCTTGCGGCTTTGCACTCCTTCAGTGGACGTACCGATACGCCAGTCATCGAGTGCTTTTTCAAATAAAAAAATCTCGACTGGTGTTATCCAACTAGAGGTCTGGTTCGAACAATCGAACACTAGCCAGCTATTGGCGCCTCTACTCTTCTTTTTCACTTCTTTTTTCTGGTTCTTTTTCCTTTTGCGGCTGTTGCCGTACACAGCATGATACTCATCCTTTAAGCGGTGCTTCCCATTCTCTCGATTTTCTCCTCATCTCCAACATTTTCTTTGTCTCATACTTGAGAAGGCAAGAAACGAGCACGTTACGATGAACTCTCCTCTCGGATCGCCGAGGCTCGTGTCCTCTGCCAGCCCCTTTCGCAACAAGGTGCCTACACAGATGAGAAGGTGGCTCGCTTTCTATCTCGGCGCCGTCTTCGTCTTTTTTTTCTTTGCCAACTGGGACTATATCTCAGCGATACCCAACCCTGCATACGTCCTCCGTCGACAGCCAAAGCCGCCTCCTGTACCAGGCAGCACATTCCCGCAAAAGATCTGGCAGACATGGAAAGTCGATCCTCTCCACTTCGAGGAGCGCGATCTGTTGACGGCGCGGACGTGGACTGAGAAAAACCCCGGCATGCGCTACGAAGTTGTTACCGATGCCAACGAGATGGCGTACATTGAGGATCGGTATGGTCCAGATGGCTACGATCGCCCAGATATTGTCGAGTTCTACCAAATGATCAACCTGCCCATCATCAAAGCCGACCTTTTGCGATATATGATTATGTATGCCGAGGGCGGCATTTACGCAGACATTGATGTCGAAACCATGAAGCCCTTTCATCGGTTTATTCCCGAGCGATACAACGAAAAGGACATTGACTTGATTGTCGGCGTTGAGATTGACCAGCCTGACTTCAAAGACCACCCCATCCTGGGGAAGAAGTCCATGTCATTCTGCCAGTGGACATTTGCGGCGCGCCCTGAACAGCCCGTCATGATGCGTCTGATTGAAAACATCATGAAGTGGTTCAAGAGCGTCGCCAGAGACCAAGGTGTGCCGCTGGGTGAAGTGCAGCTCGACTTTGACCAAGTCATCAGCGGCACTGGGCCATCTGCTTTCACCAGAGCCATTCTCGAAGAGATGAACCGCAAGGCCAAGGGACCCAAGATCACCTGGGACAACTTCCACAGCATGGACGAATCCAAGTTGATAGGCGGCGTCCTCGTCCTCACCGTCGAGGCTTTCTGCGCCGGCCAAGGACATTCCGACTCTGGCAATCACAACGCTCGAAACGCCCTCGTCAAGCATCACTTCCACGCGTCCAACTGGCCCAGCCGCCACCCTCGATACAAACACCCTGCCTATGGCCAGGTCGAAGACTGCAACTGGGTGCCCGAGTGCATCAGGAAGTGGGACGACAATATCAGCAACTGGGACAAATATTCTGAGAATGAGCAAAAGAAGATCATCCAAGACATTGAGGATGCCCGCTTGGAACAGGAGCGGCAGCAACAGGCTCTGGCACAGCTGGCTTTCCCATAGTACTTGCCTTCCTATGGGTGATTTGATGATTTTCTTTTGTACATTTCCTCCCTCGATTGCAATCTGCTTTGGCTTGATTGCGCCGATTTAGACATTGGCTTATAATGGGTTCATGGGTTCATGATATGGCGCTGGTAGTATTCCCTGGGTATGGAGTTTGGGGCGGTTCTATTCCACTGAGTAATAAAAAGACGGAACAGGCGAAAGAACGACTTGTTGGCATTTTGGTGGCGATGGGGGACAAGACTAAGAGTATAAATAAATATATATTATAAGTATATGGGTGGCATATATCCACATAGATGTGTTAATGTAACGAATTCAGATTAAGACATCACATGTTGCTTTACTTTAACGCTATGTCGATGATTTAGTCGTGGGCGGTGCTTTGTGCAGAGCCTACAGTAGCGTCCTGTAGCTGTCGGCCTCGAGTTTTGAGAGGTGGCTTTAGGGTATGAGATCAGCACTTTGCTTTTCGTGGGCCCAATTTCAATGATTTTTTTAACGACTTCATTCACTGTAGAATTTTGGATCAATTATTGCATCTCGTAAACGGCAGAAAAAACACCAGCCAGAGCATCATCCGCCGGCGGTCGGACAGGGACAGCATCAGGCTAAAAACCATTAACATGGGCTGTTCCACAGAAGCCATTTGACCCTTATCCTTGGAAAAGCCACCTGAGTCCAAGTTTTTTACGGCAGCCTTGGCTTACCTAAGGCAAAGTGGCATCTGACCCGCCTCTCTAGCCTGACGTGTACCGCCCGTCTCTGGTATTCGCCGCATCCAACCTTCATTTCCAGGCACTTTCAACTCTTTGTCCGGTCTTTGATACCATCCGCTACGCCGCCCATCACCAACGGCCCGTTGCCCTTTTGCCATCTCTCCGCTGCTTCTCTACGACGCTCGACCGAATTCCATAGAATCCGACGCTCTCGGACGTTGTTGCGCCCGCATTCCCGCCACCCAGCTCAACACTTTTCGGCAGAGTGCAGTAAATCAACAAACCTTGAAAATGGCCGCTCGCGCACCTCCCGCTGGTCGACCAGGCCTCAACACTCGCTTCGCGCAGTTCAAGCTAGTTCTTTTGGGTGCGTTTTCGACAGTCGGATGGTCGAGGTGTTGTTGATGTGTGTGCTAACATGGCTGCTTTGCGACAGGCGAATCTGCCGTTGGAAAGGTGAACTTGCAACCCTTTGGCTCTCTACGTTGAGTGGAGGAGGAGGAGAAGAAGAAGGAAGAGGAAGTAAAGGGCTAACATCTTCTCACAGAGTTCAATAGTCCTTCGTTTTGTCAAGGTAGGTTGCATGCAGTGTCTGGGAGGCCTCTGAACCGCCCTGCTAATGAAGTCGTCAGGATCAATTCGACTCTTTCCGAGAATCCACCATTGGAGCGGCTTTCCTCACTCAGACCATCTCTCTCGATGAGAACACGACGGTCAAGTTCGAGATCTGGGATACCGCTGGCCAGGAGCGATACAAGTCGCTTGCTCCCATGTACTACCGAAATGCCAACTGTGCCGTCGTCGTATACGACATTACGCAATCCGTACGTTGAAACTCGGGGTTGCACAACGAACATGGTTATTGATAAGAGATGCAGGCTTCACTAGATAAGGCCAAGGCGTGGGTAAAGGAACTCCAGCGCCAAGCCAACGAGAACATCATCATTGCCCTTGCCGGTAACAAGCTCGATTTGGTCACTGAGCAGCCCGATAAGCGAGCCATCCCCAGTGCAGATGCCGAGGCCTATGCCCGCGAGGCCGGCCTCCTCTTCTTCGAGACGTCTGCCAAGACCGCTGAGAACGTGCGAGAGCTATTCACCGCCATTGCGAAGAAGCTACCCTTGGACCAAGCCGGGCCCAGACACGCTCGACCCGGACAGCGCCCCGGCGTCAGCCTCGCGCCGGAGAATTCCAACACTAATGTCAACGGACCATGCAGCTGCTAGACAACACATGATAAGAGGTTGCGGCGGGACGTCTAATGATATGCCTATGTACCTACGTCCTGCAATGCATCCATGGGGGTGGATCATTCAGGTTCAGGCCGGGATAGACTGACAGCAGTGATTCAAAGCCTTTGGGCTTGCGTCGTATATTTCTCGGAGTCTTGGGTTTGGAGGGTTATTGGCCGACGATTTATGTTTTTGGTCCTCTTTTTATTTTATTTTATTTTCCTCTTTTTTTCTTCTTTTTTAATATGCACCTTTGATATTTTTGTGCTCGTCTTGATGCACCGGGATGTGCATGGGGACTTCCAAGGTAGATTCTCTCGCAGATGGGCTTATTCTGAGCTACAGGATGCCTGGTGGAGGAATTATGAGATACGGGAACGATGTGTATTCCGTCCTTCGGTGAATCTGACTGAGCGTCTAATAGATTGCTGCTTTGATTAGACTATGGCCCGTACTATAATTTCTTTAGATGCATCTTGTGAGATGGTTGGTGAGACGCTCCGCATGAGCCGGGGGGAGTCAGTCACTCGTACGAGCGAGTGGATCGCCGTATCGAATCCAGCAGTAGCATATGTGATGCAAAGAATATGTTCAGTTCACCTCATCAAAAAAAAAAAAAAATAACAAAAAAATCATCGTATTGTACAATATTGCATGATTCCTCTTATAACTGATTCCAACGACCGAATGTATATCCACAGCCAAACCGGTTACTGGCATGACCTTGGCGTTGCGTCACGGATCCGGTTCCTGCCGGCAATCTGGAGCTCGCATTAGCCGAACTTTTGCCCTGAGCGTTTATTGTTCATGGGCCAACTTTTGGGCTCGACACCCAGATCCAACCACCATCCACGCGATTGCATTTCCAAATGTTGCGATCATCGCTTCGGTCGGCGAGATTGCTAGGCGGCAAGCCCATCGCGGCAGCCGCCGGGCGCCAATGGTCTGTTGCCGCGTCGCGACGGGCGCCTCTGGCCAAGGTAGGTGGCGTGCACAATCACAAAATCGCGGGCCCCCCGAGGGGAAATTTTGCGACTGACCGGAAGCTGCTCTGCTGCCATCTAGAGATTCTATGCCGACCAGAAAACGCCGCCGGTCCTGCCCACGTCCGAGACCCAGAGCTCTGAACGCACGCCTCCGCCTCCCGCCCAGCCGATTGTCGACACGACGGTGACGGCGGCAGAGATTCCTCCCACGCCGCCTCCCCCTCCACCAGTCGCCGCCAGCCAGAGCGCAAAGATCAAGCCCAGCCCGCCGCCGCCCAAGAAGAAGGGCTTTTTCAGGAGGCTGCGCAACTTCATCTTCACTTTGATGGTGTTTGGTGCGGCCGGCTTTGGCGGAGGAGTTTGGTACTCGCGCATCAACGACAACTTCCACGATTTTTTCACCGAGTACATTCCCTTTGGCGAGCAGGCTGTTCTCTACCTGGAGGAGCTGGAGTTCAAGAAGCGATTCCCCAGTGCTGGCCTTGGAGGTCCCAGACACACCGATGGTGGCGAGAAGATCAGAATTCCTGCCCAGAGCGGTGCTTCCTGGAGGGTGGCGGACAAGACGGAGCCTTCTGAGCGCCGTACAAGCGCCTCTCCTGCTGCCAAGAAGGCCGGCGTGAAGCCGACTGAGAGCAAGCCTGAAGGGCCGGCCAAGCCTACTGCATCAGAGCCCAAGACTGCCGTTGCTGCCAAGCCTGTCGAGAAGACCACTCCGGAGGAACAGCCAAAGACGTTCTCTTCAAAGGCAAAGGCGACCGAGTCCAAGGATAAGCCTGCTGCTAAGCCCCTGAGATCCATTGACCTGATGACCCTGCCTGATGCCAAGGAGCCCATTGTTCGAGACCTCGTCCACATGTTGAATGATCTCATTCTGGTCATCAACGCCGACGGTGCGCATGGCAAGTACTCTTCGACCATCGACAAGGCCAAGAACGAGGTGCTGAGGATTGGCGGCCGCTTGAGGGACCTCAAGAGCGAGGCTGAGAAGAAGGCCGCTGCAGATGTCCGATCCACTGTTGCTGAGTTCGACACCGCTGCCTCCGATCTTATCCGACGAGTTGAGGGCACCATGGCTCAGCAAGAGGTTGCCTGGCGTCAAGAGTTTGAGGAGCAGATGAAGACTGTTCGCGAGAGCTACGACGAGCGGGTTAAGCTTTTGCTGGAGCGCGAGCAGAAGCTCAGCGAGGACAAGCTCCACAACCAACTGCTGGAGCAGGCCATTGCCCTGAAGAAGGATTTCCTCAAGGAGGTTGAGGCCCGCGTCGAGCAGGAGCGTGAGAGCCGCATTGGCAAGCTCAACGATCTCACGACGGCTGTGTCACAGCTGGAGAAGCTCACCCTTGGCTGGAATCAGGTTGTTGACTCCAACCTCAAGACGCAGCAGCTTCACGTGGCCGTTGAGGCTGTCCGCGCCAGCCTCGAGGATGGCCAACACCCCCGACCATTCATCCGAGAGCTTGTTGCGCTCAAGGAGATTGCCTCTGATGACGCCGTCGTCGACGCCGCCATTGCCTCAATCACCCCTTCGGCGTACCAGCGCGGCATCTCCACCTCGTCTCAGCTGATTGACCGATTCCGCCGTGTCGCCAGCGAGGTGCGGAAAGCGTCTCTGCTTCCTGATGATGCTGGTGTTGCCAGCCACGCCTCCAGCTGGGTTCTCAGCCACGTCATGTTCAAGAAGCAGGGTCTCGCCGAAGGAGACGACGTCGAGAGCATCCTGACCCGTACACAGACATACCTAGAGGAGGGCGACCTAGATGCCGCAACCAGAGAGATGACTGGCCTGCAGGGTTGGGCAAAGACGTTGAGTAAGGATTGGCTGTCTGAGGCCCGCAAGGTTCTTGAGGTTCAGCAGGCACTTGATGTGAGTATATATGACGGTTCCCTTTCCTTGATACAAATGTCACCATGTGAGAGAATCTTTTACTAACATCGCTTGAACAGGTCATTGCTGCAGAGGCTCGACTACAGAGCTTGAGGGTGGATTAAAAAATTATTGAGGATTTCTTGGTTCTGTATATTGATCAGAGAGGGAAAAGAAAAGTAGAGGGCTTCCGGCCCGTGTATAGTTTATCGATAGATACTACAAGTATAAGTTTAAAAATGTGAATTCGTGCTGTTTCGAAGAAATCTGCCATGTGATTATTATTCATCTATTTGTTCAAGTGATATTGAAGCATATTCAATTCTACCCATTCGGTGCGGTTTTCTCAGCAGCATTCTGCCCCACCACGTGGCTACAGTGCCTCTTGTCCATGTGATATCAGCCAGCCAACTGAGACCAGCACAACACATCTTCATCATTACATCAGCCTTTACACCTCTGCCAATATCAATGGCTTCAATGCGGAAAACATGAGATAATGTAACGCCCTCGCCCTCCAATTCTCCTCATCCATCCTTTGCGCACCTGGAATATGAGCACCAGGTTTGCTCTCAAAGCGCGCTTCCCAGTGGCTTCACTCATCCCATCACCTATAAATCGCCCCTTCAGAGCATCAGCTCAGTCCTTTAGCACAATGGCTCGAGGCTACGAGGACGCCCTCGAGAAGCTCGCCCTGCTGCAGTCGAACCGCATCATCACAAGCCTCTTTGAGGCGCCGGAGAAAAAGACGTCGCAGGATCTCGATGAGGTCGTCATCCCAGAGAAAAAGACGTCGCAGGATCTCAATGAGGTCGTCATCCCAGAGAAAAAGACGCCGCAGGATCTCAATGCGGCCGCCATCCCAGAGATGATGGCATGGCTCCGCCGCGCCGGCTACACGCCGCAGGATCTCGCTCGCATGAGGCATATCCACGTTGCTGGGACAAAGGGGAAGGGCTCTACCTGTGCGTACGCGACGGACATGCTGGCAAAGTATCGGACCGTGGGGACGTACACGAGTCCGCATCTCGTCAACGTCAGGGAGCGCATTGCGATCAACGGCGTTGCCGTCTCTCGAGATGTGTTTACTGCTGCCTTCTTTGAGATCTGGGATCGGCTTACGGAGGCTGCTGTGAAGGATGGCATGGCGGCTGTCGACGCGGAGGGGGCGGCGTCGAAGCCGTTTTACTTTCGGTTCTTGACGATTGTTGCGTGGCATGTTTTCTTGAAACAGGGGATTGAGGATGTGGTTATCGAGTGCGGCATTGGGGGCGAGTACGATTCTACGAATGTGCTGCCTGCGGAGGCTGTTTCGGCGGCGGTTGTGACGCAGCTGGGGATTGACCATGTGGCCATGTTGGGAGACACGGTGGAGAAGATTGCATGGCACAAGGCTGGGATATTGAAGCCCGGAGTCAAGGGGTTTACGATGAAGCTGCGGGATCAGCCGGGCGTGATGGATGTGCTACGCAAAAGAACAGCGGAGAAGAATGCGGAGCTGGTGGAGGTTGAGGATGATGATGTTGAACGATGGGGTGGTGTGAGTGGGATATTGAAGGGAGATTTTCAGAAGAGGAATCAGGCACTTGCTGTCATGGCAGTGCGAGAGCATCTCGGCATGGGGCAAGGCAAGCTGGAAGATATTCCGCAGAAGATGGTTGAGGGCCTGCAGGAAGCGAAACTTAGGGGGAGATGCGAGGTTGTCAATGACGGGGGAGCTGAGTGGCTTTTGGACGGGGCACATACCAAGGATAGCTTGGAAGAGGTGGCCAAGTGGTCGGTTCAGAGCCATTTGGGCTCTGACGAATCCTTGATATTGATATTCAACCAGCAGGAGAGAAACATTACGCAGCTCTTGGGGGGTTTCGTGGAAACGGCCAAGAGAGAGGCGGGTAGAGAAGATGTGTTTCAACATGCGTTGTTTACAAGGAACGAGCTTGCGAAACCGGCTGATGGGGAGGAGAGGGATGTGCTTGTACAGGAGCAGGCGGCGGACAAGATGCGCAATTTGGTTCCTGGGTGTGATGTCAAGATATTTGACAACACCCTTGACGCGGTGGCAGAGGCTAGGAGGCTGGCTCGAGGACAAGATGAGTCGAGGAAGAAAGTCTTGGTAACGGGCAGTTTGCATCTCGTAGGGAGCATATTACAAGTTTTGGAGCCGTAAAGGGATGAAAAGCACTCCGATATATGTGTTTTTGGTGTCCGCAAGTCTAAAAATATTGATCTATACCCAAGTTTTGTTGAATTACCGTCGTTCCATCATGCAATCGCTCCATACCCAAGTTTTGTTGAATTACCATTACCGCTCTCCCCCCTTTTCATTCCATATAGCCTTCGTAACACATCCCTCACAGCGCATCCGTCTCCTCGAGAATCCCCAACGCACCGCCCACCAGATGCAAACTCCCCGTAACATACGCCTGAACCACCTCTCCCTCCGGCAACCCCCCCGCCACGCCACGAGCGTAGTTCAAGGCATCCTCAATCGTCGGCAAAACGACGACCTTTGACTTGGGGTCGATCGCGGCCCACTTCCCGGCAAAGCCGTGCTGGACGGTGAGCTTGTCGATTTCGGCCGGGTCGATGGTGTTGTTGACAAAGTCGCGCTTGTAGCCCGTCTGGGAGTACGTGACGTTTGTGCAGAAGATGACGTGGTCAAAGGCCGGGCGGTCTTGGTCCTTGTTGATGCTTTTTAGGGTGGTGCTGATGGGCTGCAGGAAGTCGATTGCTTCGATGCGGCCTTGTTGGTTGAAGATCATGACCCTGGGGCCGGTTCTGGTAGAACGCGTGAGTGATACAACTCCCATCAAAAGGAGAAGAAGAAAAAACTAGAGAGTATTTCTTACCGGCCGGTGATTTCGCTGGCGAACCACTTGGAGGACATTTTCAAGCTGTCTGCGGTGTGGGCGCCGTCGAGGTGCCAGGTCACGTTCTTCTCCTCCTTGACTTCGCATCGGCCCCTGAAGACGCACTTTTCCAACCCGTCGATGAATTCCCGGGGGAGTTTCGACTCGGAGGCTTCTTTCAACAGACCCAGCTTTGTCAGGACAGTCTCTGCCAGGGCGATTGCCAATGATGCATTCTTCTTTTGAAATACTGCGTTTGGCCTGATTTTGACGCCCTCCAAGCGAGGATCGATTTTCAACGCCTTGAGGTCGACTTTTTTTTCATTTGCTCGGTTCATCAAGACTTCTGCCGCCCCGGGGAGCTGCTCAATCGTAAACGCCGGGCTGCCCGTCTTCATAATACCGGCTTTATGCCAGGCAATCTTCTCCACCGTGTCTCCCAGGATAGCGACGTGGTCGATCCCAAGCGTGCTGATGCCCGATGCCACGGGACTTTCCACCAAGTTCGTTGAGTCGTACTCGCCGCCTATTCCAGTTTCGTACACGGCCACCTCGACGCCCTCCTGCAAGAACGCGTGCCAGCTCACGAGCGTCAGATAGCGAGCGTACACGGGCTTTGATCCAAACGGCGTGTCCTCTTCGGGAGCCTCTCGCGATTCCTCGAGCCGGTCCCATACCTCGAAAAAGTACTTTGCAAACAGCTCCTCGGATATGGGCTTGGAGTCGATGCGGATGCGTTCACGCACGGCCATGAGATGAGGTGATGTGAAGAGTCCCGTCTTACGAGGGCCGCCGTGGCGCTGTTGGTACTGCGAGAAGATGGAATCGACAAAGGCGCAGGTGCTGCCTTTTCCTTTTGTGCCTGCGACATGAACAATGTTGAGGCGATCAAGATCCGCAGGCTGCCCGAGGGAGAGTTAGTCGGTGGATGAATGAGAGGATGAATGAGATGGACAGACTGTGTATCCGATCCTTGTGAGATACGCCCTCATCTTGGCGATGCCCAGGACAGAGTCAGGAAGGATCCCGGCCTTGCGACGGGCTTCAATCACCGCGAACGGCGTCTGCAGCTCGTTGAGCCTGTCAATCGCATCCTGTTGAACGTGAAATAGACGCTTAGAACCTCATCCCAATGACGCCATAACCGAGTCGCACAACATACATTGTAAGTCCTGCTTGTCGACGCCATGCTTCGCGCCTGAAAGCGTACGGCTATGAGTTTGTGCAGGAGAGTCGTTGGCCGCGTCGATGCATAACGCATCGGTTTGAGTCCAATGTTCTTATTGATTGAAGCGTTGGCTGCAGTGCAAGATTGACCTGATATAAGGGACGCCAGAGCCCCTCCCCCACTGTGAGTGAGAAAAATCGCCGTAATCGGCTCTAGCTTTTTAAGATAAGGACGAAGCAGAAGAGAAAAAAAGAAAGGTGATTCGTTCGGCTTTGGGTGCAGCTGCAAGGTTGTCAGATGGCTTCTCGCTGTGTTTCGGCGATGAACTTGATGATTTGATTTTATATAGTTGAGGGTATCTTTGTGATTGACGTTTTTAAACGGATGGGAGAATGGCTCGTTGAATCGATGATTCCCAGATTTACGACGGGGCCATTAGATTCTTATCATAGCGTCTTTTCTCCGGATAGTATCGGCATCACCAAACTCGAAAGTCGATCTCACCTCTGACAGCATAACGACTCATTGCATTGTTCTGGAAGACTCTTCAAATCGTCTTGTTGAACTTTATATTTAATCTTGAGACAAGTCCAGCAATGTCAATTACTGTTTAAATACTAATGCTGAATTCGTTACATTGTAGCTCCTACCAATAGCAGCAGCTTCAAAAAGTTGAATACACCAATCCCATCATAATCCCATCGAGGCCAGCCTCAACACAATTAGAAGTCAATTGAGACGCTCACGTCTTTCCCACTCGCCTTAACAACATATCCCTTCATCCCCTCCTCCAACCCACCGGTAAACGCCGCATCAAACCTTTTGCCACTATCCGTCCAAGCCAAATTCGACCTCCAGGTTAGCCAGTTCTGGGCCATCGCTCCCTCCGGGGCTCGAAGGATGCCCGTTGCAAGGTCGACAATCTGCCAGTTCCCTGGGCCTTGCAGCTTACGCGGGTCGTTTGCGTAAAAGATGGTTGCACCGCAAGTACCGCAGAAGCATCGCTGGACACCCGGCGACGAGGCATAGACCTTTGCGGTTCCAAACTTGAGATCACTCTTGATCTCTGGCTCGCAGTAGTTGAGAGGGAGAAACGCCCATCCGACGAGATGCGTTCCGTTTGAGAGGCGGCAGTCGCTGCACATGTCAAATGAGGCTATCCATTTGGTTGGATCGACGGGAGAAACGCAGCCGCGGACAATCTCATGATCAAGAATCTCTTGTGTAGGACGTCGGATTGTGAAAGACACGCCTCCGCAGTGACACTCAGCTCGGAGGCGATCTTGTCCGTCCTCGCCCACTTCCGGCTCTGCTTCAACAATCTTGGCTCGAGGATCGTCTTTTGGAGGATTCCAATCTGGCAACTTTTGGTCGCCCACGTGCGTCAGGATTTGCGCAAGGCCTTTATCCTTGGCCGATTCACTAAATGTATGGCTGGTGAGCTTGAAGTTGTCTGGCCCATGGTCTGTGAAGATTGACGTGGCGACCGTCCACTCCCCCCTATCAAGTGCAACACCTGCAACATGACATCCGCAAGTCGAGCAGAAGTCATAAGTGCAATCGGCTCCCTTGATGGAATATGTAGTTAGGCTCTTCTCACTTGAAGGCGCTATGAATTTGGGTTTGATTCCTTCTCCCAACGAGGCGTGAAAGATGCATGGCGCCCCAGTGGTGAAACGGCAGAGGCTGCAATGACAGAGATAGAGAGAGAGAGGAAGAGATGCCGTAGGAACGTCAACAGTGAAGTGGACGGAGCCACAGAGACACTTGGCCTCGAGGGTTTTGGTCTCAATGTTGGATTCTGCCATTGTGTGAATAGTTGCAGAATGGTTGTGAAACAATTGACTTCAATGTTTAGCAACTAATTGTCTTGATTTAGTGGCCATGTTTCGCGCTTATATCTCCACGATCTAAAGGCCGACGGGCTTGGTTAGGTGGGGGTTGAGCTATGTTCACATTTATTCACGCTCCTAGCTTTGGATATCCATCTTCTTTGAGTGTTTTTTGCAATCTGCGTTAAACTGGTTTAACATCTGCTGTTCTGGGGGATCAGCAGGCAAGTTGCAGATAAGCTGGCCTGAATAGTTGCTCCGAATGACTCAAGCTTATCCCCTCCAAGAGTGAGAATTGCTTTCCTGTTTAGGCAAAATTTTGCCGACATGCTGACTGAAACTAGCCATTCCGGGCTTTCCTTTGAAAAAGCGTCACCTTTGGCTCTATCTTTGAATTTTTCTTTCTTCTGGTGATGTTCTCAACGTCATCTCTTGTTGCGAGCTGATTAAGCATCTGAAGTTGGATTACGCGGAGCCAAGCTAACAGTTGAGATTCCTCGCACCGGCTGATATGGAGGTTAATAATAGCCGAAGTTATTCCGATCGCGCCCAAACTTCCCATTCTTGACTCAAGCTCTCTATCAAATTTTCCACCCGCCGTCTATCGCTTGCTGGTGCCGTGGGCCTCATTTTGCACGACATGTCGGATGCTAGAGACAGTTTTCTTGACCTCGAGAAGCACCGTCTACGGCTTGAAGATAATGTCGACAAACTGCGGAAAGCTCTGCAGCACTGGCAAACTTGGGATGCCGAATATGAGGCTCTCAAGGAGGAGGTTGAGGCCGTGACGGCAGCGAACCAAGCTGAGGAGCTGCGTCGGATACATACTGAGTTTGATGGCGACCTGCTGAAAGGAAAGGAAATCGACGACATCATTGGCCAGCCAAAGCTAAAAACCAAAGAACAAATCATCAACGTCCTGGAGCGACGCATTGATTATGTGTCTCAGAATATTTCGACGCTGCAGAAGCAACTCGGAACAGCCGAGAATAAGTATGCTGCTGCGACTGTCATCAGCCAACCCGATGCCACCGATGAAGATGGGCAACCTATCCTGGACATTGTCGAAGAACTGGATGACGATGACAATGTCGTCTCATTTCGGCTGAATAAGCCCGGCGAGTCTCTGGGAAATGTGGAAGCGCTTCTCGAAAAGGCTGGGATTACAGACGATGCCGAATCTAAACCTGAAAAGGAGGACTTGGTCTCAAGTAAGACCACGGATAAGGGGAAGTCCCCCAAAGGCAAAGAACGGGATCTTGCACCCGTGGCCGCAGCCAAACCGCCTTCACCCAAGCTTGAGATGAAGAAAACTGTCTCGTTCTCAGAAGATACAAAGTCTGCTGAGGAGTCGGAGCCTGAGATATCATGGAGAGCAAAACGTGTCAAGGAGATCATGGGCGCCGCCAAAGATCAAGAGGATATTAGCATGCAAGCTGCTGCTATACCCAAGGACGAGTCACCAGAAGATGCAGCTCTACGGCAGCAGATGCTGAGGTATGGCATGAGCGAAGTTGGCGCCGTTGTTGCTGAGCTTGAGCTCGAGGAAGGCGATTCAGATGAAGAGTCCGAGGACGACGAGGATTTTGACGATGAATATGACGATTACGATGAAGAGGACGATGAAGATCAATATGGACGCTATAAAGGAAGCGTTGTCACAGATCAGTATCGTCAACGAATGCTTCAACTAGAAAAGAAGCTTGGCATAAGGTCTCATTCCTCTAAATCTCGGCCCAAAGTCGACGACGAAGACGCAAGCGATGATGATGACGATGAAGGCATTGGCCACATTGTTGTCAACCGAGAAGCTGCAGCACCATCACCATCACTATCCACAGCTCCAAACGCTACCCCTCTCAAGTCGAATCTTAAGGAGAAGCAAACCGACGATTCTGAAGCAAAGAAGGGTGTACGTTTTGCGGCTAGCCTTGACATCGCTCCTGAGAACAAGCCTTCTGCTCCCGTCGTCAGCGAGACGAAGAAGAAGGATATTGTCGAACCTCTAAGCGACCTCATCGTAGAGCGGAGCAGCTCTTCAAAGCCGATTAAAACTGAAGCCCAACCAGCAAAGAGAGCATCACGATTCAAAAAGACAAGAGATGACACCGACTCACCAAGTGTTGTTCCCAAAGGACCTCTAGATATCCGGCCGAACTTTGTCGACGAGGATCGACCGGCAGTGCCCACTGGTCCCGAAGGCGCTACAATAGCCAATAAACTGGTCGAACGGGAGTCGACGGCTGCTGCCATTGCTCCCGACGAAGTCAACGACATGATGAGCCACCAAGAAGTCGCTGATGAGTATCAACGGATGCGCAGAAAATTCATCCAGCGAGAAGGTGGGTTCCTCAAGCCGGATGAATCTCCTATCCAGCCCGTACGCGACGAGGAAGATGAGGAACCCATCAGCCGATTCAAAGCTGCACGGCTCTCGCGCCAGTAGTATGGAGAGGACAGTCGATATATAATCGATAAATCTCACCATATTATTGAGTAATTCGTCATGCCCTGGCAAATGTGACCCTTGACAAGATTGCTCTGAAGTACCATCAACCCCCGTGTTTGCTAACCTAGTGCGTAAATCAGCCAATATTATTATCCTTGTAATACATGGATCTGAATGCTCTTACTCAATCATCAGTGGGTTGCAGCTATCAATCTGCCTTCCATTCCGATTCGATCCAAGAACAATTCCATAGTAGGGTTCTCTGACACCGTTGCTCGACTTTGGGTCGTCTCTATAGTTACGGTTATTCGTTAGGCTCTATACATTGTCTATTGAATGAGTAGAGTAGAACCATCTCATTTTGAGTGAAGTCACTATCCGGTTCCTTCGGCTCAAGTTGGTTGCCATCGGCCGATTTCCTTTCCCATACGCAATGAACTGGCTTCATCAGCAGGTTGACATCCTTACCGGCCATCAATATAACCGATTATCAAAAAAATTAGACAAATAGAAACGAATTATCCCGATAATTGTGTAAAAAAGCAAAAAAGAAGTGATTCCGCCCGGGCTCGAACCGGGGACCTTTTCGGTGGTGTCAACTAACTGTTAACGAAATGTCATAACCAACTAGACCACGGAACCGTATACTGCTTGTTAGAGATTGTGGTCGCTCAGAGCATTATCAGGATGTCTACATCGAGTCTCTCCCTGATTGAAGGTTGAAGAGCATCTTTTCAATTGGATAGCCTCTGGAAGAATTGCAACTCAACTACCTAAGGTACTAATATAACCGGCATGTCTCCAGGAGTACATATTCAATATAATCATAGTACCTAGCTAGGTACATGTACTGATGCGCAATCAAGATTTCAAGTAAGATTAGTAGGCAGGATTGCTATTCCAGTGTTACTGTTGTTACAACAAAAACTAAAGCTCACATACATTTGCAGGCAGCATTGGATGCTCTCAAGAGACATAGTCTATTAGTATTCAATGATACAGCTTGCCATTTGTCAAGCCTTGGGATCCTTATAGTCTATAATGATTTGATACATGAGATCCCACCCACGCTTCAGATGCCGTATTTTACATTCATCCCATGATGAAAGAAAAAAAAAAGAAAAAGAAAAAGAGCGATGGCTTGTACAAGTCCATACACGCAGACACCAGATATACGTAAAAAAAAAGAACCCAGCAAGAAAAACCCATCATGAGCAACCGTTATCCGCATCATCATTTCCCCTTGCTGAACAACGCAGCAATCGTGTCCGAGAATGTCGCCTGGCCTTCTGCGCGCCGCACCTCTCTCTCTTCCCTCTTGGCGTCCCAAATCTTCTTCACGTTGCGCGCAACGTCGGCCTTGGCTTGCAGATCGGCTCTTAAAGCGGCTTCTTCAGCAACTCTCTCGTCTTCTGGCAGCTGGTCGAGCTTCTCCTTCCACTGCTTCTGAAGCTCGTCGGATGGCTTGATGTTGGTCGCGCTGGTGGCAGTCGTCTTCGGGAGCGAGGGGTCGAAGGTTGGGATAAGCGTGCCGTTTTCCTTGGCCTTTTCGACTTCCGCCTCGTGCTGCAGCATCCTTTGAAACAGCGCATCGGCGTGGAGTTGGATATCTTCATCGACTTCACCCGGCCGCCCGGCTACTGAGCCGTATCCTAGCGCTCTTAGAAATCTCTGTGGCATTTCATCGTCAGTACGCTCCTCGTATGCTATATCGTGCCCAAGGGGGGGGGGGTTGTCCTACAGATTGCATGGTGTAGCATCTCTCAAACCGCCGTACTTGGTGTCGGCACATTTGCAGTTGGTCCTCCCAGCTGCCGCTCTTCATGCAGTTAATCCACTCCTCCTGCTGCGGCGCGCAGTTCTCGAGTCCAGCCCTGGCGATTGCCGCCTTGCGCTCCTTGTACCCCTCCAACACTGACATGAGCTTGTCGTGATCGGTTGAAGTCTCTTCCTCGACCTCTGCTAGTGGTCTGTAGTTCTTCCACAGATGCGCATATCGCCCGTCTTGATAGAGACTTGCAGACGGAACCGCGGCCGGCTCTGGCTTTGATTCAGCCGCGGCGCCTGCATCTTGTCGCCGTGTTGATGCCGCTCGCTGGTTGGGAATGTACTTGACGGGCGATTCTTTTTCCAAAAACTCGCGAAGCTTGGGATCGAGCTTGCCGAGGGGATTCGGAGCGTCGCCGCCAAAGATGGAAGGTAGCCAGCCCATGGTGAAGCGTGAGTTTGAAGCCGCAAGAAGCGACCCAGGGGGTATCCAGATCTTTATTTGGCTTACAAGGTGGCTCTGACGTCCCCAACAGAATAGGTTCGGGAGATGCTTTTGACAGGGACAAGGGTGTGAATATTACATAAGGCGACAGATGTGCACTGTGCAGTTTTATGGAGCGCGGCGCATATGTCAACGTGCATTATTATATCCACGATTTGTGTGCAGGGGTAACTCTTTTCATTACAGGACGAGTAATAATCAGTGTTATAATCATCGATTCAGATCTTTGGAAAACACATGAAAGGGAGGCAAACGTCTCCATATCATCAAATGAGCATCACATATATGCATCAAAGGATGAATCCAAGTAAGCTGTGCGCATTGGGTATCACGCGATATTTTCCCTGTTGTACAATCACTGCTTCCACGGTACCGTGAAACCGCTTGTTGATACTTAAACATTGGGGTTTTATTCATATATCACCTGAGGGCCTCATCGTCAAGATTTCTTTTTTGCACCGCGCTCCATGATTGGGAATCGAATTAAGCGTCGTGAACAACCCTGAGACGTCGAGATCGTGGTCATGAATCCTTTTTTATTCACGATTGCGTCTACAACTCATTTTGTAAAGCGACTTCCCATGCCGACCCTCCAGCGGGGATGATTCGTTCCCCCCGATGTTTATCACGCCAAAAATGCCAGTAGAGAAACCCAATTTAGAACTTGGAGAAGGACTTGACCGCCTTGCCAGTTCGGGGCAGAACGCGGAGGACGTTGAAGCGGACCTAGAGGAAGAAGGGGTCAGCATCAAGCCATGCCATCGGAAGAGGGGACAAAAACATACAGTCTTGCTGAGAGGCCTGCACTGGCCAACGGTAACCTGGTCACCCTCCTCAACACGGAAAGCAGGAGAGACGTGGGCGGCAAGGTTCTTGTGTCGCTTCTCGTAACGAGAGTACTTGGGGATGTAGTGAAGGTACTCTCTTCGGATGATGAGGGTTCGGTGCATCTTGGTGGAAACGACGGTGCCAGTCAGGATACGGCCACGGATAGAGACGAGACCGGTGAAAGGGCACTTCTTGTCTGTATCATTCCAAAGTCAGCAAATTCCAGCTCCATGCAAGGCGTGAAAGGTGTATCCATCTCGTTCTCGTCGCGTTGTCTGGCTCCCGCGCTCTTCGATTCCATTCGTGTGTTTTCGAATCCTTCCCATTTTGCCCATCTCGAATCCTCCCAATTTCAACCATTTCTTCGCACGTACCGATGTAGCTGCCCTCAATGGCAGTCTTGGGGGTACGGAAACCCAGACCAACGTCCTTGTACCATCGTCGTCCACCCTTGCCCGGTCGGGCGCTCTTGGTCTTGGTCTTGGAGTTCAAGAAGATGTGAGGCTGCTTCTGGAAAGCGCGCTCCGACTGGACGGTCAACTCGGTCGCCCTGGCATGAATGTTAGTAACGGGCAATATTCGTCGAGAGCTGGCGCAATGCTGTCGGGCAAAACTAACATCTTGAATTATCCTGCTCCGGAGAGGTACCGTAACTAGAGGGCGTGTCGTAGAGGGTGGGAAGACAATGTCGATGGTTTTGCACAGGATGGAGGAGTAGGGCAACGGCGCACTTTTTTCGGGCCACTTTCCCACCTTAGGGCTTGCAAAATTTAGATTGGCTGATTAGGCGAGCCAAATAACGGGGCTCTCTTTATCTGCACGTGATCCGAATTTCCAGTGCCAGTTGAATTGTGGGGAAAATTTTGGCTTTGCATTTCCATCATTTGTGGCTCAAGTAGACCAAGTGTGGCTGAACTCAATGGAGTACGTACCGGTGTACCGTTACCCCCCCAGGAAGTAAACAAACGCGGTCATCGGGCCCTTTTTTGTGCTTCAAGCTGGAACTCCTGCTTCGGGCAATCGTGACAGGATCACGACAACCAGCAAAATGTCTGCGCCGGGCGAATCCACGATGCCGGCGACGCGCCGTACTCGGAAATCAATCGGCGTGCACACAGAGCTTTCAAATCGTTCACACAAGGAAAATGCTACCATTGATGTTGGCGAGTCCATGGCTGGCAGTCGCAAATCACGGAGCAAGAGCATAGGCCCGGGCGGAATAGATGCGCTCAGGCAAGGAACTGGGAACAGGCGCGCGGTATGAATCTTTCTGTCTAATACCGACCTTATAGCGTTTCTGACCTCCAATATAGTCTCTTGCTGTACCATCCAAGGTTCCTCGCTCGATCCTGAAGCCCAGCATTTCTCCGCTACCCGAAATCCCGCCATTGCGATCACAATCATCGAGAAAGTCAGTAGGCGTGTCAACGGTTAGCCCGCCCGAGGACGAATTGAGCGGATCAAAAATCGCCGTAAGGACAGAAGAAGAGCAACAAGCCGCAGCTAGAGAGAGAGAGGAGCGGGACAGGCGAGATGCTCGTCGCAAATCCTTAGCCAATCGCAGAGTCTCTTTTGCTGCAGAAGCAACACTGCACACGTTTCACGAAGTCGAGTACATGCAGAAGAATTCGGCAGAGTCTAGAAGGAAATCAAGCTCGGGCTCAATCATCCAAAATGCGGGCCCTCAACTTGCTGCCTCCGACCAGAACACGAAAGGGAAGCGGACTTCGCTTGCTGCGCAGAATGGTATTCAGAGTCAAGGTGATAACACCACCTCGATTATATATAGCTCTGATTCCGAACCTGCAGATGCGGTGGAAGAGATTGCTACAGATGAGGAAGAGGTGGAGGAAGAGGAAGAAGAAAACTCCAACAGCGACTCTGATGACGGAACAATGATGAGCGTGGAGACAGAGGAGGTTACAGGTACTACCGTGGCGTCTGAGAGAACCTTGAGTGACCTGGAAGAATCATCTACGCTTGACGAGGCTCTCCGCATGGCTGCTCGACAGGCAGCAACTCAGCAGCTAGGAGACGGTGATTCCGACGATGGTGAAGAAATCATCCCCTCGTTTGGTTGGGTGAAAAAGGCAAACCGGCAGCCCCCAACTAGTGGTAACGAAGAACCTACAAAGGCACCGACAGATCACAACAACGAAGACGGCACAGAGATGGACATGGACATGGATATGGACATAACTGTTGCAATGGGGAAAATTATAAAGCCGTCTGGGCCTGACGAAACTGACGCGGAGCAAGAACAAGAGGTTTCTATGGACGTGACCCGTGCATTTGGCGGCATTCTCCCGAATGATAGAACCAATGGCGCGCCTTTAGATCCAGGTGAGATGGATGATGACCCCATGGAAGATGTTACAATGGAATTCACGACTATGGTGGGCGGGATTCAATACCCTGAGCTACCAGATGTCGACTCCGAGGTTGACCAAAACGAAGAAATGTCAATGGAGCTCACCAGTGTCATGGGTGGCCTGCTAGCCCGTCAACAACGAGAGCAGCACCAGGCAACGCGGCGAGAGACGCTGAACCGGACTTCAAAATTGGATGACGATGCCACAATGGATATGACTCTTGGATTTGGAAACATTCTTTCGAGTGCCCCCCAGAACGAGGGCACTGAGAGAAATGAAGATGCTGATGGCGATGCGACAACCGGCATGGATATAACCACAGCTATTGGCGGGATTATAAGAAATACCTCTCAAGCGCTCAGGAAGAGCTTTTTTGGCTCACAAACAGACAAACCGGAGAACGTATCGCAACTGTCTCCTGAGGAGCATAGCCCTGTTCAAAACACAACATCCACACCCAGTACTGCGTTACAACCTGCACCAGAAAATCCGACACAATCTGCTACGCCTCGAGCGCTGGAGGAGCCGATACTTGATTTCTCAACAACTCCACCAACGCCGAAGTTTTCGACTGCACCGAAGCCACCTGCAACACGCAGGTCAACTACGCCCAAGGCCTCGGCAATACCCAAATTAGTGACTCCCAAATCCTCGACGGCACTCAAGTTAACAACACCCAAAACTTCAACAACCCCCAAAACTTCGACGACACCCAAAGCTTCAACAACCCCCAAGGCTTTGACGACCCCTCTGCAAACTTCGGCATCAACAAAGACAACAACGCCGATATCGCAGAGCCGGGTTCTTCGATCCTCGTCTATAAAATCGCCTTCGAAGAGTGCAAGCCGAACACCCTCCCCTGCGAAATCATCGCAAAAGAGTGCTGCAAAAGCAACGCCGCGGAAGGATTCTACTCCTCGGCGACTTTCTGGGGTTGGTGCAGACAGAAATGGCCTGGGATCACCCCAGGTTGCGGCTATTTTTGATCGGCGAGAGTCGTTGAGCGATTCAGCCAGCATATTCGTTCCTGGAAAGCGTGCTGTTGCATTCAGCGACCCCAAGGACTTGGCGGCAGAGGTTGATGAAAGCGATGAAGGAACCCAGTCGAAATCTGGTGGTCGAGATGCTACGCTCAACCTTAGAGAGATGATTGATAGCATGAGCCCCAAGCGAAATCCTTTGAGAGGCCGGAAGAGCCTCCATATTGGAAGTGCCAGGGGCCTCCTGGGTAAACGACCCATTGAATCGGACGAGGAAGATGATGCAGAGGAGAATGATGGCGTAAAGAGGTTAAAGAACCGCCAGGGCAGCCCTGTCAAGAACGTGAGACTTCAGCAGCCCCCTTCCAAAGAAGAGACGACTGGTAGGCTCCGAAGATCAACCCGACTGAGCTTGGACTTTGCTGGAAAGATGCCCCAAACAGCCTTTTCATCTCCTCTAAAGGGCGGTGATGGCAGCGGTCCGCTGGGCCAGAAGCACCCCATGGCTGCAAAAGATAACCAAACGGTTCACGATGTCCAAATTCATCAACCTACGGCCAGCAACGACTTTCAGTTTTTGGAGACAATTGATGAGAGCCAGATGCAGCTTCAGGACTTCTTGAACTTGACCTCGATTCGTTTTATGGAGCTTAACACTACGAAAAGGCGCCACACAATTGCACCAAGGACATCACAGAGCGGAAGTCTGGCAGATGGGGAGGGTGATCGGTCGCTTGAGCGACGTGTCATGGCTGGCGCCTGCACCGTGCCCATGCTGGAACTATATCAGCATTCCTGCCGAGAACTGAAGAAGTATATATCTGAAGGACGGAGAATAGTAAAGGAGATTGAGACCGAGACATTCGAAGACAATCCTCCGCTGTTCCGAGAGTACATATCTGCTACTGCTGATGTCAAGGCGTTGATGGACAATCAGTTCAAGAATGTCAGAACTCATGCCCGTCACCTTAGCAAGGCGATGTGGTACGAATGGCGGATGAAGCTACAGGACGGACTAAACGAAGGCCTTATCAGTATCTCTGAGGGCATGGATGGCGATGTCAAAGTTCTTGAAGAGCAGGAGAACCTTTTGAAAACTGTGATGCCCAATCTTGTGAGCCGATACGAATCGCTCTTGGAAGAAAGCAACAACCTGGAAGAAGCCGCAAGAGAATTAGCCGACTGTGATCCTGCCGAGCTTCAAGCCGCCCGGGATGAATTGACCAGTCTAGACGATGATATTGCTCAGAAGAAGAAACTTATTGCCCAGCTTCGACAAGAGTTTGAGGCATCTGAAACCGACGTGGAGGAATTAACGGCACAAAAAACGCAGTGCCTTGCAGAAATACAAGATTCGGAACGAGTCAGAGAGGAGTGCCGTGGCTGGACCAGCACCGAAGTTAACAATCTTAAAGGTACGGGTGTATACATATTCGTAAATCTCATTATGAATATCGCACAAACTGACACTTGATAATAGCACGGGTGGAGGCCATCGAAAAGCAGCATGGATGGGCCGTAACGGGCATCTCAGGGTCAACGCTCTCGATGACGTACAAGCGAGAGATTGAGCTTGTCCTCGATATGAAGTCTTTCCAACCTCGGCAGCCAAACTCGCCTATAGATTTGTGGTACCTTGCCGATAGCCGTACCGCCAATCCTTTACCGAAGACTACAGAAAAGGAATTCCTCCTGCAGTGTGTACGCGAGCATATTCGGGCATTGTCACAGAGCCGCACGAAGCTGTCTCATCTCCTCAGCGTAATAGGAGCCGCATGGGACAAGAGTAAATGGATCTCCCGTGAGGTCAAACGTATCAATGTAACGTTTCCCACAAAGGTTACCAAAACATCCGACTCCAGCATTACCATTACTAGTTCTCTCTTGTTGGCGCCTTTGGAAACGCGAGTCGAGGTGGCTTTCAACCTCAAAGGGTCTAGCGGGCCGGAGGGAGTGAATGTAGATGTTTCAACGGACGCCAAGGTGGTGTATGGGGAACAATTCAATGTGGGCAAGGTTGGGGAGTTCTTGGGTACTAGGATTGGGAAGAGTGTGGGAGCGGAGGGTGAGCAGTGGAGCAACGTTGTGATTGAGTTATATGAGAAGCTTATTGCTCGGGGGAAGAAGCAATAACTGTCGAGTTGACGCTGTAATGACTGATGATGGTTTGGGTATATATACATGGTGGATTGTTTGGGTTGAACAGGCGTTGTTGGACACAAAGATACCAGGAGCCGATGCTCTCTCTGCAGCTGCGTTATCATGAATACTAAGGTTGATACAATGATATTCGAGCATTTGATTACTAGGTATAATGCTGAAGCACTGTAATATTCGCTGATATGTCACCCTTCAAACTCCGCAGAGATGGACAATAGGAGGACGGAGGTTACTATTTGGGCAAGGTGCTCTTCTACCACTACTAGCAATAGTTGGAGCCCCATGGAGAAGAAACATCGCGACAGCCGTGTCTTGGACGAGCTGAACTAACAAACCCCCAAGTTTTAGCGAGATTTACCCCCAGCAGGCTGTTTGTACTCGCAGCTCCAATGATCGACCATCAGATGTCCTATTTTTTCTCTGCCTTCTCTCCCACCTTTTCAGATTTCTTCTTCTTTCTTCTCACATCTCAAGCACTGAAACGTTTCAATCCCCCTCTTCCATCCACCCCGCATATTCATTTTCATCTCGTCCCTGGGGTTGTTGAATTTCCATCTCCTTCATCTCCGCACATCGGCACCCCCAGCCTTGCTAGTGAGAGGAGTTACCCAAATTGGCAAACTACTGCGAATTCGGGCATCATTTTTATAAGAACTGGCCACCGTCCTTCATCGACTCCAAAGCAAAGACAACTCAATCTTTTCTTCAATTCCCTTTACAGATCGGTGCCGGCGTTTCTCCTAGTGGTATAGATTGTGTTTTTCTCTTCTTCGTCATGGCAACATTTTTTCGTTGGTGAGTTTGCCACCCGCTAGAACGATCTTTTTTTCACTTAGAGCATCTGACTTCTAACCATGAGCGCAGGTACAATGGAAGGCTCGCAGCCCGTCCGTATCTCACCCAGGGCGTGACGACTGCCGTTCTGTTTGCTACTGGCGACATCACCGCCCAGCAGCTGGTCGAGAAAAGGGGCGCCAAGGGCCACGATGTCTCGCGAACTGGCCGCATGGCGCTCTACGGTGGATGTAGGTTTTATTTGGCTGCCTAAACCCACCTCTCTCTCTCTCTCTCCTCTCTCTCGCCCAGCCCAGCACCACCGCAGATCCATTGAAAATTTTTAACTAACCCAACGGATTGCAGGTGTTTTTGGACCCGTTGCGACTACCTGGCTGGGCTTCCTAGCTCGTCGCGTCACCTTCAGGAATGCTCGGGTCGAGACGGCGGCGCGTGTGGCGGCTGACCAGCTGCTGTTTGCTCCCGTCATGATTGGAGTCTTCCTCGGCAGCATGGCCACCATGGAGGGCAAAAGCCCCCAGAAACGCCTTGAAACGACGTGGTGGCCGGCCCTCAAGGCCAACTGGGTGCTCTGGCCGGCCGTGCAGTTTGTCAACTTCACCTTCTTGCCTCTACAGTACCGTCTGCTGTTTGCCAACGTCATCTCGATTGGTTGGAACAGCTACCTCAGCTGGGTGAACAGCAAGGGCGGCACCAAGAGCAAGGACCACGAATTGGTCGCCGCCCCAGCCACCTAAATTTCTCATTGTTTCTCTCAGGTACTGCTTTGATGGGTTTTGTTTTTGTTTGCATTAGAGGGGGGAAAAAGGAAGACAAGATAGAGGCTAGAGATGACTCGCAATGCGGTAACTTTGTTGCACCTCACAATAATCATGATGCATGACGACACAGTGCATTTCCATCTCGCATTATCACCTATGCCTGATGGTTTTTTTTAAGAAAAAAAAATCAAATATCTTTTATTAATACAGCAATGCTTCCGGTGCACTGACAGAGACGCACATGCATTTCGTATGTAGCATGTCATTGCCCCCCCTGGACCTTGCTGACGTTGATGCGGTCTTGTGATCGGGTCCGATGATGGCGGTTTTAGATAAGCCAAGCTCAGGGGGAATACAATATGACGAACCCAAAACTAAAGCAACAATAGCGGGTGATACTTGTACTGGTAGGGGCGCAATCCGCAAATTACCTTGTAGTCGTCAAGGCTTCGTCCTTTGCATGGAGTCGACCAGCGATCCATTTTAACTCTGCCATCCCCCGGCTTTTCCCATCCAGATCTGATAAGAGCATTGGAAGTACGGACTCCGTACGGAGCACATATCGGAACTCACGATAAGCGCAGGGCTTACTCAGTCCGTGTCCAAGACCACAGAGGCTTAGCGCTGGCTGACTCATCCCTCTTTTTGCCGCCTTTGCAAATCGTTTTGCCGAACGAGCGGCCAAGGCCGGGCTTTGACGAAACACAATCGACATCATCGGATTCAGCCTCTGCGCTCGGATCGACCTCTTTTCCTCTCTTGCCGCTCTGTTTCGCATCTGCCCAGCAGACCGAGTTTGGCGGCGCAATGTTGCCTCTACCGGTGCGGCGCGCGGTGGCCGCTGCTCCTCAGTGGGCAAGTGGGCTGACTTCTCTCGCCGCGTCGGCTCCAAAGGTCGCAGCCTCGCGCTTCATCATGAGTCGCCCTCAGCGGCGCTACTCCTCGTCAAAACCCTCAAGATCCGATGAGCCCAACGATATTGCCGCCGGCCAGTCGGTGCCGGCATCTACCTCGCGCGGAGAGAGCAAAGGCAGCAGGAAACGAAAGAGCAAGGATTCAGCTGACCGGAGTGCGGCTTTCAAGAAACTGCCCAGTGTTCCCAACACTCACCACATGTCTCAAGAAGGTGAGTGCCACAGATGTCACATTCGAAATGATCCTGGCTCGTTACTAACATGGGTTACAGCCCTGAGCTTATCGAGCTTCTTCTCACTCCACCGTCCCATTTCCATCACCCAGACCATGCCCAGGACTGTTACAGACGAGCACTTTGCATCCATATTTGCGCCTCGATCAAAGTCGAACAGGATACGAGACACCGTCTCTGCAATTTCTGACACCATTGACCAGCTGGAAGGCCCCATGGCTCAGGTGACAATAGGATCTCAGGATCAAGGGGCTGGCGATGGTATGCACAGAGTCGACGTTAAGAATCCTGATGGAACCGAATCGAGCATCTACCTCCAGGTTGATACCATGTCTGGAGAATTCTTGCCCTTCCGCCCCCCTCCGCTGCCCGAGGCGCAGCAAGGCGCTGAGGCTGAAGGAGTTGCGGCTGAGGCTGAAGCTTTGGAAGAGGCTCACCACCGAGTTTACAAGGCCATGTTCACCATCGAGGAGTCCACAGAGCCGGACGGCCAAATCAGGATCATCGCCCACAGCCCTCGGATCATCCAGGACGAGCAGCCCCGGAGCTTCTTGGAGCGTCTGGCAGTCCGCCAACTGCGGGTTGACCAAGCTCGCGGCCAGCGTGACCTCTACGCCATCAGCGTTAAGCGACAACGAAAGCTCAAGATGAAGAAGAAGAAGTATAAGAAGCTGATGAAGCGAACAAGAAACTTGCGCCGCAAGCTGGATCGAACCTAAGGCGGCCAGGCTCGGGCTGTGTAGAAATTCGCATTTATTTATTTTTTTCCTCTATTGCGTTGGGATTTGACCGGTTCATGGGTTGGTGTCTGTCTGGCGGTTGGCAGCTTTTTGTCAGCCATGAGTTACGCAACGCGCTCCTGAGACTTTTTCTCTTCCATAGACTCGCGAAGATGACTTGTTGTCATGTGTTGTGGTGCATGACTGGGGACATGGCCTTTTCCCGTTAGATCGATTTTGTAAAATTAGTATGAATAAGACGAACATGTATCAACATATTTGATGAATTGTTGGCAACGTTTTCTTGGTGTATCTCATCTCTGTAACAGGAGCTAGATATCCTACGGCCTAGTATTGCACCTCCTCTTAGACAGGTAGGCAAGTCTCTATGAAGGGTTATACCGTTCAATGTATATAAAAGCTTGAATCGTTCTAGTTTTTCGAATTCACTACTACCTAGTAATTCAAGATGATTTTCATCCTGTAATTTCAAGCTGTTCATTCAGCATAAGGTACACCTGCTAATAAACCTTCTCGGTCAATATCCCGGTGAGCGGCTCGGTCAAGTTTTGCACTAGCGAAGCTAATGGCGCCCACCGCCCGGCAGAATCCAGCTCCACCGCCAAATTTTTGGATTTTTTGCCCGCGACGGTATTTTGTATGCGAGAGGTCCCGCAATAAACTGTCTGAAGCCAGCAATTCTTGCGCAATTCTTTACCACAGACCATTGGCTGTGACAAAGCGTTCGCAAGATGCAGCGCAAGCAAGTGTAAGTCGTCGAGCGGCAAAATTTACCTACATCGTAATGCCGCGATATAGCTGACCTGCCTACAGAGACGAGCGCATTGGCGCTCTCATTCGAAATGGCCTGCAGGAGAAGAAGAGAAGCTTTTTCGTCGTGGTAGGAGACCAGGCCAAGGATGTCATTGTCCGACTTCATTATATCATGTCCATGGTAGACATCAAGCAGAACAAGTCTGTCCTGTGGGCATACAAGAAGAAGCTACTGGGATTTACAAGGTGAGCGTGAAAGCATGCCTTTTTTTTTTCTCCTCTCCCATTTGGGCGGAACCAGACGTCTGACTGCTGTTCACAAATAGTCACCGAAAGAAGCGAGAAGACAAAATCAAAAAGGAAATCAGACGCGGAATCCGAGAAGCAAACTCTGAGGATCCATTCGAACTGTTTGTCTCTCTGCACAACATCCGCTACACCTACTACAAGGAGACCGACAAGATCCTGGGTAACACATATGGCATGTGTATTCTGCAGGATTTCGAAGCCGTTACGCCCAACATTTTGGCCCGGACGATCGAGACTGTTGAGGGTGGTGGTTTAGTTATTATGCTGCTCAAGGGAATGAACAGTTTGCGGCAGCTCTACAACTTGTCCATGGATGCCCACTCAAAATACCGGACGGAGGCGCACGATGACGTTGTGGCCAGGTTCAATGAACGTTTCCTGTTGTCTTTGGGAGGCTGTGATTCTTGCCTGGTCATTGACGACGAGTTGAATGTTCTTCCCATTTCGGGCGGCAAGAATGTCAGAGCTCTACCGCCTCCGGAAGCCGATCAGCCCAAGTCTCCGCAGGCGTTAGAGCTGGAGTCCATCAAAGACGATAACCAGGAACGCCAGCCGGTTGGATCATTGATTAATCTCGCAAGAACAGTCGATCAAGCAAAGGCTCTGCTGACTTTCACGGACGCCATTGCTGAGAAGACGCTGCGAAGCACTGTTGCGTTGACAGCTGCCAGAGGACGAGGAAAGTCGGCCGCCATGGGAGTTGCCGTGGCCGCTGCGGTGGCATACGGATACAGCAACATCTTTATTACATCGCCGTCTCCTGAAAACTTGAAAACGCTTTTCGAATTTGTCTTCAAGGGCTTTGACGCTCTCGGTTATGCTGACCATGCGGATTACTCCATCATCCAAAGCACGAATCCCGACTTCAACAAGGCTATCGTTCGTGTCAACATCCACCGACAGCACAGGCAGACAATCCAGTATATTCGCCCCCAGGATGCCCATGTGCTTGGACAGGCCGAATTGGTGGTCATTGATGAGGCGGCTGCTATTCCTTTGCCCCTCGTTCGAAAGCTCATGGGGCCGTATCTGGTCTTCATGGCCTCTACGATCAATGGATACGAGGGTACCGGCCGATCGCTGTCCCTGAAGCTTATCAAACAGCTGCGCGAGCAATCTCGACGGGCCGCAACGGACGATGAGACTCAGGTTACCGACCGATCCACCGGAAGGGCTTCAAAATCAGAGGAATTCCAAGCCAGTCGAAAACTACGCGAAATTACCCTTGCAGAGCCTATTCGATATGCTCAAGGCGACTCGGTCGAAAAGTGGCTAAATAAGCTTCTTTGCCTGGACGCAACTTTGCCCAAGGCAGGATCCAGTGGTTCACCAGACCCGTCTCTATGCGAGCTCCTCATGGTCAACCGCGACACACTATTCTCATTCCATCCTATCCCTGAGGCTTTCCTCCAACAGATGGTCGCGCTTTATGTTGCCAGCCACTACAAAAACTCACCTGATGACCTGCAGCTGATGAGTGATGCACCTGCACATCAACTATTCGTTCTCACAGCTCCGACATCAGAGAGCAGCGGCAGACTTCCCGAACCTCTTTGCGTTATCCAAGTGGCTCTAGAAGGAAAGATTAGCAGACAGAGCGTGATTAACAGCCTGAGCCGAGGAGAGAGACCTCATGGTGATTTGATTCCCTGGCTTGTCAGCCAGCAATTCCAGGATGAAGAATTCGCCTCGCTATCTGGCGCCCGTGTGGTCCGCATTGCGACCAATCCAAACCACATGGGCATGGGATATGGAAAGCGAGCGATGCAGCTTCTCGTGGACTATTATGAAGGCCGATTTGCAAATCTGTCCGAGGATGATGACCAGGTCCTGGAGAATGGCACTGGCCGAGCTACGGACGCTGAGCTGGCCAAGGAGTCTCTGTTGGAAGAGAAAATCACCGTCCGAGATGATAAGCACATGGCTCCTCTCTTTTCCAAGCTATGGGAGAAGAAGCCAGAGCGACTGGACTACATTGGTGTCAGCTATGGCTTGACCAAGGAGCTACACAAATTCTGGAAGTACTCTTCCTTCTCGCCCGTCTACCTGCGACAAACTGCCAATGACCTGACCGGCGAGCATACCTGCGTCATGCTTAGGCCACTTGACGGTAGCGGCGATAAGACATGGCTCGGTGCATTCTCCAGAGATTTCCAGAAGAGATTTCTCTCTCTGCTATCCTACGAGTTTAGGAACTTTGCCGCTTCTGTTGCGCTGAGCATTGACCAATCGGCCAATACTGGTGCACAGCTTGATGCCACTCCTCAGACTTCCTTGACCAAGGCTGAGCTGGATGCCCTCATGTCACCCTTTGATCTGAAGCGACTGACATCCTATGCGAATAGCATGCTGGATTACCACGTCATCTTGGATCTTATGCCTACCATTGCGAAACTCTACTTCACTGGCAAACTAAAATCCGATGTCTCAATGTCGGGCATCCAGCAGGCTATTCTCCTTGCCATCGGATTGCAGCGTAAGAGCGTGGATGAGATTGCCCAAGAGCTCCCCATGCCATCGTCGCAACTTCTTGCCATGTTCATCAAGATTATTCGCAAGTTTACGGCACACTTCAACTCTTTGGTCACGGCAGCAGCTGATGCCGAGCTTCCAAGGGGCGAGAACATTGGTGTCAGCCGAGAGAATGCCAGCGGCGCCCACGATGACGAAATCGTGGATGATCGGTTCGTTGCTCTTGAAACATCTCTCGAAGATGAACTCGAGGAGGGTGGTGACGAAGCCCTGATGGCCCTAAGACAGAAGCAGAGAGAGATGATTGACTCTCTGCCTCTGGATCAGTAAGCAACCCCACGTTTTAGTATACCTATGTCCCCATTTCTCAGCCAGTGCTAACTACGTTACTTTTTAGATATGAGATCGATGGTGATGCACCAGCCTGGGAAGATGCCGAAAAGCAAGTGAGCAGCGCCGCGAAGGACGGCAAGGCCAACGTCGTGGTCAGCGTCAAGTCGGCCAAGCAGAAGAGAAAGGCCGGCCAGACGGCGACGGAAATTTACGACCAAGAGTTTGGCGACAATTCTCGGAAAAAGTCTAAGAAGGGGAAGAAAGGTAAATGAGTGAGTCATGTAAACAAATAGCTGAAAACCAAGGCTAAGGAATTGGGCGTGGCGTTCTTTGGACTAGACTAATATCACTTGCAATATATAAATATCTTGTGTTTATGTTGTTTTCTTGGGAATTGGGGTTGTGTACCGTCCGTATGAAATGCTGTCTCTCAATGCACCCTATATACTCTTCTTTATGGGTATGGTATAGAAGAGCGAGATGGGAGTTTTCTTATACCATCCCAAGTCCCCCATAGTACGATATGCTACATGATTATTGATGATTGTCATTCGACATGTCGAAACTTTGGGCTCTCAACGCCTCCGGAGCATTGAGCTTGTCGTCTTGACAACAGACTGCATCCTGATCGTCACGCAATCCTTTGACTTTGAGCCTCAACGCCCCATCTCGAACAGCTATCCAGTCGTCTAGATAGCAAACTACGTCGTAACGACACCACGTAATCCCTCCTCTTATAGTTTTCCTGAGCAATACCCAGAACCAATCTCAAGTGGCGTAGCATATCCACATCAAGTTGCTAGGTAACCCCCCATTTTTGCATTATGAGGCGTACATTGGCCTTCAACAACAGCCTTTCCCCCCCGCAGAACGCTCCAGATGCTTTAAGTGAACTTCACATTGAGAAACTATATCCAATTCTTATAGTTTATGGCTTCTCTCTGTTTACAACGTACTATTATCGTAGACCTATATAAACCCCATCCCCCCCCCCCTTCTTCTTGTTTCCCCTTTCTTCCCATCCACATCGTCCACGTCCACACCAGAGCAAGTCTTCTTCCAAAGCGCATAATACAAATTATCTCTACTTTACTCTTCCAAATCCAATTCTACTGTTGTCTCTTAGAGAAAGCAATCTTCATCACTCTAGAGATATTTATACGCCTACCTTTCAAAACATTTCCAAGGGGATTTATACCCAACTATCTCTCGACGACTATATTCACCGTCGACTCATAAAGACCACATACTTTCACCACCCTTTTTTTTTTTAAAAAAAAAAAAATTAATACATCAGTCACCATGTGCTTCGAAGACTTCGCCTACTGCAAATACTGCGACTACACAGTCCAGCAGAAAGAATTCTGCCGCGGATACCGCCTCGAATGGGCCCAAGTCCTAATCGGCCAATCCAACAAGACGTCGAAGCAGATCGAAGACGAATGCAAGAAATACGTAAACTGCATCTTCTTCTATTATCTTGGAGAATGTCCCAGATGCTCGAACCCGCCGCCGCTGGACCGAATCCACGAACAAATCTCCTGGGCCTTTAAGAGTCCCAAGGAATTCACGGGAGAGGTCCCTAAAAAGTATGACGTGATTCAGGGTGAAGTTTGCTCTTGTGGGTGTTATCAGCGGGAGATCAAGAAGTAAAGGGTCGTGGATTATCATATCATGATTCTTGTTTGGATTTTGAGTGCATTTGTTTTGTTTGGCGCTATGGGGGGGGGGGGGGGGGGGGGGTTAAAATTTTTATTATTTTAAATTTGGGTTTTGCATTAAA